ATTCAAAGAAAAGAAAAAGGGAGAAGAAGAAGGAAAACAGAGGAAAAAGAGAGGAAAAATAGAGAAGAAAAAGGAGAGAGAAAAGAGAGAAGAGGAAGAAGAAAAGAAAGAAGGGAGAGAAAGATGAAACTGAGAATAGAGCGCGAGATGAGAGAAGAGGGTGGAGGAGGTGGCTGGAAAAGTGGCCGTCGGCAAGCAAAACTCTAGTGATCGGAGAGTGGAGGAGGATCAAACATATGGGAGGTGACTAAAGCTTAAAATTTAACTCTTTGATGAGTTTTAGTTCATTAGTTTTGTGTTTATTATAATTGAGTGTAATGACATGAGCTTACACTAAAATGGAAAGATTGAGTTCAATAATGTTATGTGGATAGAACACATATGTGTTTTCTACACAAAATTTGGTTAAAGATCTGATTTTGATATAAGGGTTCATTGTACAAAAATCTGACCATCTGGAATTTCGAAAATTGTTTGTATGTTTTGAGTTTTTGTTGAAGGTGAATTTCAGATATGTTGTTGTAGACTTCTTAAAGGGTGTTTATAAATTTATTTCACTCAAATACTCAAAGAATTGAATTTTATATGGATTTTTGAAATTGCCTTATGAATTCTGAAATTTTCGTTTTCTGCAGAACAAGTATTTTTGGAAAATGATTTGATGTATCTATTCTTATCCAAATTAAGTGATTTTAAATTCTGGTGAATCCTATATGTGTCTAGTTTAATTCTGGAGAGTTTTGTGAAGTTTTGATCAAAGGCTAAATTGTTACAAATTTTGCAAGTCAGTAACCTCAATCTGGAAATAGTTAGTATATTTGAATGAGTTGAAAGAAAATTGTGTTTTAGTAGTTATTGATTCTAGAATGACTTGAGAAAATTATGGGAACAACTTATGTGTCTCTAGAGTGCCCAATTAAAATTATGGCTTGAATTGATGAAAGAAAGTTTTATGAAAGATCTGAGAGTGACCGATGTTCAGTTATGAGACAGTTTTGGTAAAGAAGAAGTTATGTTAATCTTTTGGTGTGTGAAGTGTCCAATGATTTTAATATTGAGGTGTTACCTTAGGGGGACTTATGTATGGAGGATTTTTTTGGATTTTGTATATAGGGAGGCAAGCAAGGGCATTGTTAGAGGATTTCAATCATTTTTTTGGCGGAAGGGTCGAGCTCCAAAATGTGAGTGGAAAAATATAAACCCTTAATGTTCATTTTAAAAAAATTATCTTTAAATGCTTATTTATACTTGTTTATTGTTTTAAATTGCCTAATATGTTGATTTCTTTACATAAATGAGCTTTATTGCAATGTTATTGTTGAAAATTGTTGATTGACATGAGATAAATGGAATTTTGATGCTTTTGGACAATAGTTTTAAAAGAAATGAAAACGGGTTGAAATTGTTACATTTGAAAATATTTGAGAACTTACATTTATATTTTCAAGTTACATAAGGTGTCATGAAATTTATTATATGCTTATTAGAAAAATGTTTTGAGAATAAGTATGAGATGTTAGTGGTTTTCAAACCGCCCTACGTAGTACCCATCCCCCTCATGATATTAATTTGATTCTTCGCATGCGTATGATTTGATATTGCCAGCCCAAGTAGGTCGAAGGCCTGAGCGAAGCAGATATCGCTACACATGATTTGATATTGTAGGCCCAAGTAGGTCAAAGGCCCAAGTGAGGTAGATATCGCTACACAGGATTTGATATTGCTAACCCAAGTGGGTCGAAGGCCCCAGTGCGGCAAATATCACTACACATGATTTGATTTGCTAGCCCAAGTGGGTCGAAGGCCCGAGCGAGATAGATATTGAACGAAATAGAGAAGCAACAGGAACAAAAATAATAATAGTAAAACAAAACAAACAGTAAACAAAGAAATTATACGCGCAATTTACCCTGGTTCACCCAATGTGGGCTACGTCCAGCTGAGTCAATATTATTGAAATATGCCTCACCTCTCTCGTTTACAATGAATGAATTGCTCTCACCTACATAACAAGAGAAAAGAATGTTTATATACTAGGTTTAAGAGATTAAACCTAGTTTTACAAGAATTGCTATTCCTAAGCCCAACCCAAAAAGGAATTAATAACTTAAAATGAATCCTACAGCGGTTATACATGGAAAAGCCCAAAACCGCCTACGGGCTCAGGGGCGCTGCCCCCGCGACCCCCACCCGCTCACCGGGGAGTGGGGCACCCGCCCGCTGACTGGTCAGCGGGACCCCCGAGTGTGTCTCCGTTACCCATTAATACTGAAGTAGTCGACAACTCCAACAGATATCGCTAGGCATGATATGATTGTGTCGGCTCGAGTGATGCTTGGTGTCACTGGGTCGAAGGCTTGAGCAGTGACCAATTCTGCCTAGCATGATGGATTTAGTATGGTTCACCCGTGCGATGTTAGATCTTGCTGGATTGGACAGATTTAGCCCTGGGTACTAGTTGGGTGAAAGTTTTCACAAGCCATATATATATATATATATATCATTTATTTGAAATGGAAATTTATAAATGCAAATGTTCTCTGTATATGAAATATTTTTAGAAATGATATTTTTAGATAAACATGAGTATTGATTTGTTTTCCATAACAGTTTTTAGAAAGAAGTTTTGAAATGAGAGATTTCAACATTTGTTATGATCGATGGCTTATATTCTAAAATGAGTTTATGGAAATGAAATTTTATAAGCATGCTTGTTTTATTGTATATTGAAATGTTATATAGCATACTAACTCATTCCCCACTCACTGAGCATTTCTATTAACTCATTCCCCACTCACTGAGCATTTCTAGCTCACCCCTCGTTTTCAAATGTCCTTCTTTCCCCCACCAAGTTAAGGAGGAGATCGTGCAGAATAGTGAATCTCACTCAAGGTTGGGCCACACGACTTCATTTTATCATATGTTCCATAATTGTATTTCATTTTTCGTTGCAAAGTTTATGTTTCCTCATCATGTATTTATTTCAGGTTCTGGATTGTTAAATATATGGAAAAAAAAATCTGTAACCATACATTTCATTTTGTAAAAATTTTAGTTGTATTTGTTTATTTGCAAATAATGTTATATTTGTAAAAATTTCATAGCAGAAGCAGGAATATTTAATGGAGTAGAGGATGCCATTGGAGAGAAAATTAGATGGACACTAAGAAAATTAATAAGGGCTAAACAAGCTAGAAAATTAATAGCAAATGGGTGAACCCTGCTTCAAATGGCATCTCTCTCGCTGTTTATATAGAAAAACACAAAGAGGTATGACAGAATAAGAAATTCAGCAAAAACTTCATTAGAGTGATTGAGTCAAAGCCGGTTCATTGAGTCTTCAGTCTACATGTAAGTGGGGCGAAATTTCACGGCCTCATCTTGTGTCACTTCATCTTGGAATTTTCGTAGTCATACTAGTCAGTAGTATGATATTCCTTGGACTCACTAAATATGTTAGATAAGTTGCATCAACATTATCGAATTATATGATTAAATTATAAGAAAAAGCATTTTTTAATAGTCAGTTGCTTACTTTCATTATGATCTCTTTTATTATATACAGAAAATTATTGTTTGCATCGCCAAACTTTGAACAGTCTGAGAGAGAAATTAAATCTTGTTAGTCAAACTTTTTTGCTGTTCCCGTCTCTTACTTCAGTTTATATTTATAAAGAACAAATTTGATCTATTTTCCGCAAAAATTTAGGTAAAGAGATTCAAGTTGGAAATATTTTTAAAAAATATTAATTTAAAACTATGAATACTACCATCATATTTGAGTGTTAACTACTTTTGAGTAGTCGAGTAGTTCGATAAGGACTCTTTGGTGTATTACTCAAGAGGTCCAGAGTTCGTGTCTCTCCTTTGTTTTTAATAGGGATAGCTACTGAAGCTCTTATTTGGCCGATAGTTCTAAAATCCTAAGGGATTAGTTAAGGTATATGTAAGTTGGCCCGAACACTCTTGATTATCACCCGATCAATAGCTTTAAAGTCTCGAAATATTAGTTGAGATGCAAAAAATGAGTGTTAAAAGTTACTATGTAACTAGCAGTGGCAGCCTCGAACAATCAGAGAAGACTAGTTGCTAGTCAAGTCTCCTCTTTTAAGCTCTTAAGTTAAGACGAAATAACATTCAATAGTATTAGACCATCAACTAGTCCAAATTTTGGAGACCTTGACAAACATCTCAATCTGATCTTTAGTCAAAAAATTCTCATACCCAACTGCCTGGCGCGGGTCTTCCATAATTTGGCTCTACTCCAAGTCTTTGCGGTCAGTTATGAGACTGGATATTTATATCTTCAAATATCCTTCCTTGTAACCATTTTTGTTTTTACTTAATAACATATATATATTTGGCTTAATTTCCTTGCTCTTCAATTCGCTAGGATTGGTATTCTTTTTACTCATTCAAAGATACAATCAATTTTAATTATAACATATGGTATATCGTTATTGTTTTGACCTTTATTATTAGTAGTCCATCTTATACTCCTGTCACTTGGATACTAATATTGTGATAATAAAGTGGCGGAATTATCGTCAGGAAATTCCCATAAGTTATTTCTTTTTCAATTTATAGAAAGGAATATTTACCTTCGTTTTCATTTTCCTTTTGGTCAGCTTGACCAAGTTTTGCATAGCATACAAGTCCAAAGATTTATAGCTCTTTCGGTTTTCAGAGAATAGTTTGTATATATTCCTTTCTATAAATACGGCACTATTTCTTCAATATGCCACTGAGTGACAAAGTATTTCTTACAATAGCAAGGAACAAATTATTGCAATAGTATGAATATTGAATAAAATAACTATGAAAAAACCAAGAAAAGTAAATAACCTTTGACTGAAGGGAGAGACGGCATCCAATTGTTCCAAGTACTTTTCTACACATTCAGCCAACCGGCTTTGACTCCACTTAATTGTTTTGCTGAATTTTGTTTCTCTATGATGTCATTAGTACTCTAACCATTTCCCTATATAAACAGCGAGAGAGATGCCATTTTGAAACAGGCTTCACCATTTGGTAATAGCTTATTTAGCCCTTGTTCATTTTCTTAGTGTCTATCTAATTCCCTCTCCAATGGCATCCGCTACTCCATTGAATATTCCTGCCTCTGCCGCTGCCTTATTTCAAGATCTTCCAAAAGAGAAATGGTGGGGAATCATTGAGTACGTCCAGTTTGAAGGTTTCTGGTACTCAGCTCCCCGCCTTCAAGCTTCTCTTACTGCCAGGTCGAACTTTGAGGCACTTGACGATGATGTTATTCTCGCCTCTTGTCCCAAGACTGGCACCACTTGGCTCAAGGCTCTTATACCATCCATCATGAATCGTACTGGAGAATTTAAAGACGATGATAGCGATGACCCTCTGCTCAAAAACCATCCAAATGCCTTCATGCCTTCTTTGGAAATGAAAATTTTCAGAGACACCCCAAATCCTGATCTTTCGGATATGGTCTCTCCAAGACTATTCCGAACTCACGTTCCGTACACAATGCTCTCAGAATCTGCACAGAAGTCTGACTGCAAGATTGTGTATATCACCAGAGATCCCAAGGACGCATTCGTGTCGTTTTGGCACTTCATGAACACAAACGTGCCACCATCACTCGGTAAACTCCCTATAGATGCAGCCTTTGAGAGCTTCTGCAAAGGGGTTTATCCATTTGGGCCATTGCAAGATCACGCTTTAGGCTATTTTCAGGAAAGTCAAATGAGACCTGAGAAAATACTTTTCTTGAAGTATGAAGAGCTGAAGGAAGACCCAAAAGGGCAATTGAAAAAGTTGGCTTCATTCCTCGGAAAGCCTTTTGTTAATGAAGAAGAAGTTGATAAAATTCTATGGAGGTGTAGCTTGGAAAGGCTCAAGAGTTTAGAGGTGAACCAAAATGGGGTCGACCCTTGGGATGGTTTGGCTTACAAAACATATTTCAGGCTCGGCAATGTTGGGGACTGGAAGAACAGCTTAACCCCTGAAATGAAAGACCGACTTGACGAAATTACACTCAAGAAACTTGAAGGATCTGATCTTGTATTTGGAAGTTCATAAACCTGGAAAGCGATCTTCTTGCTCTTTCAGGAATATGGCTGCAGTGGCCATTTTTGCTCTGCTTATACTCTATTTCCATTAAATTTCTGTTTGAATAGCTACCAGTCTCTGTTGTTCGCATGTCAATTAAACTTGTTCAAGCTCTTTGTGCTGAGGTTAATCATAAGTAAGACGGAAATTGAGTTAAGAATTAGATTGGCTTTGTAATGTGATATATGTGAATGAAGAATATGACATGATTTTGAAAATATTTTACAGTGTGTTGGGAAGTTTTATTTATTTTTCAAAGTCAATGTTCTCAAAGCTAATTATTAAGCCAGTGTGTTGGGAAGTTTTATTTATTTTTCAAAGTCAATGCTCTCAAAGTAATTATTAAGCCTTTCGAAATTCCGAGGGCTGCTGCTCTAATTGGCTTTCAGGAAATCAAGAAAATGGTTTAATATAAAATAGCTAAATGTGACCGTAATCGATAATGAAATGATGTGTTGCAGTGGAATATGATGTTATAGAAATCATTACTTTACTTGATTAGAAACAGTTCAGATCTTAACAGAATGAAACTACAAACAGAAAGAGCTTCTGTCATTACCAAAACGTTTCCTAAGGGCATTAAACATGAACCTAACATTAAGAAGAAGCCAATAAGGAAAAACCCACTCAGAAAGACAGAAACCAAAGACTACAAAAGACACATGATTCAATACATCATATTTTCAAAGAAAAACCATTCTTTACAATAAAGCATAAGGGTCAAAAAGATATATCATTTTTGGCTCTCTGCTGCTAAAGTTTAATCATATTTAAAGAGGAAATTGAGTTGATTACAAGCAGAATGAATAATATCTGAATTAATGTGACTGGATTACATTATTTATCATATTAATATTATAGATCGGGTATTTTTTTACTTTTCCTTGGTGATTAGCTTTGTGTATAGACTGACACTTATCCTTTTGGTGATTAACTTTGTGTATAGACTGACGCTTATCATGTTAGCTTCTTGTACCTATTTAACTTGTATTCTTTGTGATCATTACTTAAACATATTATATACAAGCTGCAGAATTTTCATGGTATCAGATTAACTTTTCTATCATGAATAATACTTTTTCTGCTAATTGTAATGCATGTAACTCAAGAACAAGAAAGCCGTGATGTGGAATATACAGTACTGTTGAAGTTTGTTCTTTTTCAAAGTCAATGTTATTGACTAATCAAGCCATGATTTGGAATTTTTGAAGCTGACAGCTCACCTATTCAATAAGTCTACGGTCTACAGAAGCTTGGGCAGATGATTATCCCAGTCCAAGATTCTGGGCTCCTCTGCCTTTCTTATCTGTTTTTTCTCTCTCTCCTCTTCCTCCTTTCTTCTCCATCTCCTCCTTATTTCTCATTCTCCTTCTCCATCTTCCTCCGATTGCACTTGGGCAGTAGCTGAATCTTGCCACCACTGCCCAGATCTGATGTTTGGCCACCACGGCCCAGATCTGGTGTTTGGCTCAATTTTTTTATTTCTGCAGTTTATTATTAATTTTTCTTAAGAAATTGGATTAGGTGAATTTGGAGATTGAAGGCTTGTAATTAATTATGTTTTATAATGTATTTTTGATTGACAGTAAGAAAAAAAGAGAACAGAAGAAAAAACTAAAATTTCAGGAAGAGGAAGACAAGGGATTGGTGGTTGGCCGCATCTTGGCCTCGGGTGGCTTGGGGGCTGGTGAAACCATGGCCACATGTTGTGTGGCTGGTAGTGTCGCGGGAAGTTGGTAGTGTCGTAGGAGGCTAGGGATTGGTAGTTGGCAGTGCCTTATGAATACCGGCAGCGCGGTTGGGAGTAGTAGTGGAAAAGGATAGACGTCGGTGGTGCGGTTGAGAATGGGAATTCATTTAACAAAATAATAATGAAATTTCAAAACCAAAAATATTTTAAATCAATTTGACAAAACCACCAGTTGAGCATATTCACTTAAAAAGATCATAATGAAATTCTTATGCAAAATACCTGTATACATTGGTTCTCCTACAAATATTTATTCTACTTCCTATTAATTAATTGTAGTTTGTTATGTCAATTGCAAATTTGCAATAAAAGTAAAAATGACTATACCAAAAGAAGTAAAAGCTGAAGCACAAATTAGCTTCCAGTGACAACTATAGAGAGCTAAATTTATTCAGTAATTCAATGAGAAACAACTAATAGGAAATTAACTTATATGAATTAGCTAACTTCACACAAAGTAAATCACTCGCATCAATCTTGAGCCTAAATAGCGTACACGAGAAGTTATGTTAATATACAAGCAAAGATGAGAAATTAACTTACATGAATTAGCTAACTTTATATAAAATATATCACTCGCATTAATCTTGAACCCAAATAGCATACACGAAAATATAGACTATCCTAGAAGTTATGTTAATATGCAAGCAAAGATGAGAAATACATTAGAAACTTCGTGGTTTACAGCCCAGAATTATCTCAGGATTTGAAATCCATCGTTTTCGTTGAATAAATATGAACTACTCACCTTTTTTGGTATAACTCCCTTCTTTAATTATTTATCTCTAAGGTCTATTGCCACACATGCTAGATAGCTTGCTACTCTTTCATGTTTTATCTTCGTGCACTTGTAGCCCATGTGAGATATGAAAATTCAATGATCAATTCCACGTGAAAAAATTAAAAATGTACTATACTTAAGCATACTAATTAAACAACAATTAAAAAAGGAGCTGCTTGTCGAAGAATTAATCATCAATTGCTTGTAGCTTTGAAGGGAAACACTCACACAAGTTCCCTCACTTCCACTATAAATACACATTTCCTCATGCAAGGTATCTCACACAAAACCCAGTAGCACATTCAAAAGAATTAAACTAGCCTACACAATAACTATGAAAACTATTCATTTCCTTGTAGCTTTTGTTCTCTTAGCTTCGGCTTCACCACTGGCCTTTGCCTCAGACCCTGGCCCTCTTCAGGACTTCTGTGTAGCAATCAACAACACCGGAAATGGCGGTGTGTATGATCTTAATTTCTGTAACAATTAATCATATACGTTTCTGCTACTTAAAACACATTATTTTGACTAGTTTTTTTTTTTTTTTTTTTTTTCATGTATGTGTTGTGAATGGGAAGTTCTGCAAGGACCCAAGGCTTGTAATTGCAGATGACTTCGTCTTTCAAGGGCTTAACATTCCAAGACCCATAAACGATCCTGTTGGTAAACGTCACCCTATAAATGTTGAGCAATTCCCAGGACTCAACACTCTTAGCGTAGCCTTAGCTCGAATTGATTTTGCACCAAATGGTGTGAAAAACCACCCACACCTTCACCCTCGAGCATCAGAACTCTTTCTAGTGTGGAGGGCACTCTTTTAGCTGGAATTGTCACATCGTTCCCAGACTATAAACTCTTCACAAAAGTCCTCAACAAGGGAGACATATTGTCTTCCCAAGGATTAATTCACTTCCAAGTGAACTTAGGCAAAACAATGCAGTCGCCTTTGCTTTTTTGAAAGCCAGAACCCTGGTGTCATTAGATAGCCGATGCAATCTTCGGATCGAATCCACCCATAACTTTCATTCGGCCAGGGCATTCCAGCTGGATCAAATGTGGTGAAAAATCTTCAAGCAAGTTTGGGAATAACAATTAAGTCCGCAGTAAGTATAAGTAATAAGAAGTCATAAAGTAGTTGATTGTGATATGTATTAATAAGATGTTCCTTATCATGGTTTGCTTGATAATAAAGGGCTGCTACCTGCTGAGATTGCAGTTTTGTTGATAGTCACTGTGATATGAACTATGAGTTGATGTTTACTAATAAAGTTTGCTTATCTCTCATAACAAAAAAAAAAAAAAAAAAAAAAAAAAAAAAAGACACTGTAATAGTACACCAAATCCTCCTAACCATGGTTATTAGTATCCTACGATACCCGATACGTATCATACGATACGATTCGATTCGATACAGGTCGCCAACGATACGTATCAGAGAGTGTATCATAAGCCTTTCGATACGTTGATATGTATCTTACGATACGATACGTATCCAATCGTATCCTAAAAAATATCGATATGACTTTATTAACTTGGGCCAAAGGCCCAAAAAAATTTCAAGTCAAAACCGAGTCACCCAACCCGATTCACTAAAACCTGCCCAAATTTACCCTTTTTGCATGGAGAAAGTGAAGAGGAACATGTGTTGCCCATTTTGCATGATAATAATAATACAAGTGAAGATATAGATATTGACATTGATCTTGAAAATGATATGAAAAGTTGAGAGAAAATGATATAGATTCTTAATTTTGTGATTAATTTTGATTATGTCATACCATAATTTAAAGTTAATAATATGACAAAATTCTTTAATTAATCTTGGGATGATATTAATTTTTAGAAAATTTTGATTATTTTATTAATTTTTTTTTTAAAATACGTATCCTACGATACGATACGATACGATACGCGATACACGATTTAAAAAATTAGGTTTTCGATACACGATACGTTACGCGATTTGACAACCATGCTCCTAACCAATGTTTTAAAAACCGACTGGGACAAAACCTGGCAAGAGGACCGGCTCCCGGGTCTACCGGTTGAACCAGTTGGTTCAACCGGTGAACAGTAATTTGATGATATCAGCATGATGACATCATCAAGTTACTGTTCACAAAATACATTCCTTTCCCAAATTTTACTCCAAAGTCTAAATCACAAACTCCAAAATAAAAAATCCATAACAAAACATCATCAAACATCATTATATCAATAATACAAATTAAAATAACAAAATAAATGAAGAAAAATAACATAATAGTTGTTTCAACTCCTAACCTTTGACTGCATTATCTCTCATAACAGGGCTAATGCTACAATAATCATGGATAAAGACTCACATAAATCTTTTCCAATCTAATTGATTCTCAGGATGAATTTCATCGAAAAACAATACTTTTTTGTACGGAATTTTATTAAATTTTATTTTATGACTCTGGGGGGTAAAGTGTAAGAATTTGAAAGTTTAGGGGGAGCATATAGCCGAAACAAGTGGGGACTAAAAGAATATTTTCAGATATTTCTTTGAACAGTGACCATTCAAAGAAAAGAAAAACGGAGAAGAAGGAAAACAGAGGGAAAATAGAGAGGAAAAAGGAAGAAGAAAAGAAAGAAGGGAGAGAAAGATGAATCCTGAAATAGAGAGAGAGAGGAGAGAAGAGGGCGGCGGAGGTGGCTGGAAAAGTGGCCGCCGGCGAGCAAAACACCGGTGATCGGAGAGTGGAGGAAGATCAAGCATATGGGAGGTGAGTAAAGCTTAAAATTTCCCTCTTTGATGAGTTTTAGTTTATTAGATTTGTGTTGATTAGGGTACTGGAATGAGAGTATAAAGAGACCTGAGAAGATTCTCTTCTTAAAGTATGAAGAGATGAAGAAAGACACAAGAGGACAGGTCAAGAAATTAGCTTCATTCCCTGGAAAGCCTTTTGTTAATGAAGAAGAGGTAGATAAGATATTATGGAGGTGCAGCTTGGAAAGGCTGAAGAATTTGGAAGTCAACAAATCGGGGATAGACCCTTGGGATGGATTAGCTTACAAGACATATTTCAGACTTGGCAATGTTGGGGACTGGAAGAACGAATAAAACTATGTGCACTAACCAATGAGTACTAATCCAAGTACTAACATTGGAAATTTGAAATTTTCTCCAAATTTTTTTTTCAAATTTCCAATGTTTGTACTTGAATTAGTACACATTGATTAGTGCACATAACATTACTCCTGGAAGAACTGCTTAACACCTGAAATGAAAGACCGACTTGATGACGTTACTCGAGAGAAGTTCCAAGGATCTGGTCTGGATTTATAAAGTTCAATATGTGAAAGTAATCTTCTGGCTCTTGCTTTTTGCCAAATAAAGCGGTAAGTTTTCTGTTGTAGGTTTTCGTTGGAATGATATTAGCACTGTTCTCTTTTCAGTCGATTTAAATTTATAATTGGAAGTTGCTTCCCGATGTCATAATACATGCAAATAAAGAATAAGAAACACATGAACCATGAGCTGTGATCATCTAACTGGTAATTACATTCCCAATAGACGAACTTTACCTCTAATGTCAGTGATTCAAATTTTACTAGAAACAACTTGTGATCAGAGACATTTACCGGAGCCTCGATTGAGAATTAGTCTAGTAACTTGGGTCTGAGGTCATCTCGAGGCTTTAACCGAATAACAAAGAATAAGAAACCCATGATTTTGAAACCACCTCCTATTAAAGATGTATTCTATTTCAAGTCAGTGTACTTAAAACTTAAAACAACTAAAAAGGCCGTTTGATTTCTGAAGGTTACTGCACACTACAAATAACTTTTTCAACAAGCCTTTCGAACATCACTCATTTTGTTTAGTTTCCCTTGATTGTTGTACATACTGGATAATACAGGACCAATCCAGTGGGATTTAAAAATAGTTTTTCATAACCTGTTGAAATTAAACAAACAAGTGAAATTTACTGTACATATAAACAAAACAGAATCTAAGTACAAATAGAAATAGCTTCCCTCATAACATAAAGCTTTACACTATCGTTAATCCAAACCTCAAAAAGAGAAGTAATCAAATTAAGGAGATATCGATGGCGAATGCCTGCTTCCTCAATGGTGTCTTATGCTCAAACTGCTTCAGTGTCTGTATTTCCATATGCACAAGAAAGTGGTAAAAGGTGTATAGGAAAAGGAATTCCAGAAACATTTTGCCCTGCTTAATGGACAAAGATACTGCTCTATAAGAGCTCCTTATCATAAAATGCAAGAAGTTGCTTCACATGATTATGCCAAGCAGCAACGTTTTGCCCGTCAACTGTAACCCAATCAACAACTGTAGATGCCGGTTGCTCCCACCACTCATCAAGCTGCAGTATAATATCATAATTTAAAGATTTATACAGAAACTAGAATAACAAAAAAAGAAAAAAAGCAATGGAAATAATCAATATGTGTGACACTGTCAAAATGAGAATTCTAGCACTGCTGCTTGTTTTTACTCAAATGGTTTGAGAATTACACATTCCGTAATGATATTAAATTACTCCAGATGTGGTTGTTACTCACCAAACCCCTGACATATTTGCAATCATCCAAGCATTTTTGAGCATTCAAAACTGCAGTCTTAAGTTCAGGCAACCATTTCTCCATGACAATTTTCTCTTGCTCATCAGCCAAGTTGAAACAATAATTAGTTGTCCTGCAAGATGTATTAAACATGAATTATGGAAATTATGAACTCCAGAAATTCTTGAAATTAACTATTTTTTTTGTTGTTGGTGTGGGGGGGGGGGGGGGTGGGGGGTGTTGGGGGTTGTTTGATATAGATCTGATACATCAACCATGGTTCCTTTTTAATAGTGTGTGCATGAAAATTCATGACACAGAGGGTTTAGGGATTACAATTATGTCCACAAATAGCATAAAACAATACATCAGTAGAATATAAGACCAAAACAAAGAACAGAAGGAATTAGAATGTGAACCTAGTGCCAACACCCAAACCAAAAAGCACATTGGTCGAAGTCTGCATTGTACTAAGTTATCGACACTAACATAAATAAATAAATAATTCTGCAAAATCCTTGCATAAACAAATGACCTAAAAACCAGGATAAACAAAATGGGTAATCTCCAGAATTACCTTTCATATTCTTGTTGAGCTCTGTAGGCATGATTTAACAAGGAATGACCACTTTCAACAAGATCCTGCCGTATATGGACCAAGTTGATTGCCTTTGCCAAGTCCTCCAACACACTAGCCTCAGAACCACGAAGTTTCAAACAGAATTCTAGAGACTCTAACACTGATGCTAAGCCAGCATCTGAACCCTCCAAACCTGTAATTACAAAGTCAATCAATTGACATAAAACATAAGAAAAGAAACAAAAAATGCACACACCCATCAAGGAGGTTTCTACTCCATCAAAATCTTCCTAAGCAAACAATGAAACAAGCTCCTAAAAACCTCTTTACCATTTATTTTTCTATTCAGATGATGACAATTCCGCATCTAATATTAGTTCAATACCTCCAAGCTATAGTCAATCAGAATAATATAAAAAAGGGGAAAAAAAAAAAAAAAAACATTTAATAGGAAGTCACTTTCTGCATAGGGAGATATCTACCTGGAAAAAAGCAAAGATAATCAATGGTTAACAGGCTATCTAAAATACTACACCACTGAAGGTTATCATTATTGGTCAAATTAGTGTTAAATGTATATTCTAAAAGCAAATTTCAATTCATCATCCATAATCCTAAACCCTAAACCACCTGATGTAAACCTATTCAAATGACAATAACTTTCTTCCATTAACTCTTAAGGTTTGATTCGTTTGACACATGAATGTTTTGATGCAGAACACATAATGTTCTGATACTCAGCTATCACAACAACACCCAGCCAGGACTCTGAGGACATTCTGCTAGTCAGCAATGTAGTTTCATACTCACCAGCAGGATATTGAAGGGAGGCAGAAACACGGCATATGGATGGAATTGCTGATGGATCCCGAGCACCTGCTCTTGCAGTCAATAGAGCAGCATTCTTTTCTGCAGCAGCAACAGCTTCAGGTCCTGCAGATCCATTAGCACCCATAGCTTCGAGAAGTGCCTATATAAAATTAAAAAGAAAATATAAGTGCAACTGAGGGATGCATACATAATCTTCAGAAATTTGATATTAAAAACTAGGGTATGTAATCAACACATATTATACAGCTGCTGTCTTACAAACCTGTGGAGTTGATGGAAGCATGTAAAGACTATTATCTGGACTTCGATAGAAGGCCGATACTTCTTTGTCAATAAAATCTTTGGCACTATTTGAAATGTCAATAACAACTGTGCATGCAGGAATGATAGTGCTTGACGCATACTCCCTTGCAGCTAATGGCTGCTGATTCCAGAATGCAGCTGCATCCTGTAAGGCATATGGAATCGTGGTAAGAATCATTACAATAGCGTCATATTATCAGCATATTGTCATAAGAGCAATTGTGTTAATATCTTTTAAGTCAAAACAGATCAATCACCAATTGTCCTGTCATAAGTGCCACAAAATAATTTAAATGAGTTTTACTACATATCCTTAAGATAGATGCTCACCATATTAGCCCTGAGTAGAGCAGTATATATGGTTTCAAGTTCAGATCTTCGAGAATCAAACTCTTCAATCTTCTTCCACTTTTTTCTCAAGGAATCCTCAGCTTCTTTCCTCTCTGCACACAATTTATTCAAGCGCTGTATTTCAGACATCAAAGTATTCAGGCTTGCCCTCAATCCTGCAGTTTCTCTCTCCTTTGCCCAAACATCCAACTGCAAATAGAACAAGGAAAAAAAATATAATTTCACTATTAACTTTCCGGGATTTGGCGGTCCAAAACAATTCACCTCATGCGCCAAAATAAACAATTTTTTTATGAATGACAGGAAACAAATTTAAACATTTAGCACAGCAGTCCAAAACCAATATGGTCAAAATATATAATGTACCAGCTACAACTGACTGTATGATGGTAACTGATGATATTTGGCTGACAATTGCAACATAAAAAAATAAAAATAAAAAGATGCAACAAAAAGGAGCAACTAACTTGACAGAAATTTCCCATAACTTTCTGAATATGCTTTTGTCAAAGATTCATAATGTCAGAATGAACTAATTAACCACAAAATCACGTGTTATAGGTCAAACCCATTAGTAAAAATGCAGCAATTTACATGTATAATATTTGGCTTTACTGGTGCATTAGAAGGTCTAAAATATGTGCTAGGAGATTCATAAATTATACCCTTATTGATGAAGGATGTTAGGCTTAATGAGATACAAAAAGGTCCAGAGGATGAGACATTCAATCCCACAAATTGCTGATCATTAACCTTAACACAAGATAAAGTACAAGTGTACTAGTGGCTGATAAATTGGAATCATCACTTTTGAGACTAAAAGTTCACATGACACCCCTCCAAGGAGAGAGAACTTTAGCTACCACAAATACAAAAACTGTAGCATAGAATAATGCATATATTTGAACAGTCAAAAAATAAAAACAAATGATGAAAATCTAAACAAAAATCCTGCAACAGAAATGTCTTAACCAAAATATTTATGGCTAACAACCATAACATCAATGAATTACCTCGAATTGCCTAAGACTGCCTACATTCTGTGATGTGCCTCCAGCAAGGGAGTGTGATGAAATTGCATCCCCACTTCCATGTAAACGTTTTATAAGCTTTTGACACAAATCCCTAGCTTCTGCAGCTTTGTTGAGTGCATCTTCAGTGGCCAAAAATTGCTGAACATGTGCTTTCTGAAGACAATCACGTATACTAGATATCAGTTTAACACCCCCAAAAAGATTAAGGCAGAGAAATATTCAATAAGCATTAAGTCAAAAGAAGTTAAACCCAAAACACCCACTCAAACAGTATTGATTCTAGTTAAACAGTACCAAAACCCCTGAACTACATTGGCAGTTATAAGGGCGTGAGACAGTAATTGGTAAACTGAACTTCAATAATACTTGAAAATGAAAAGAAGAAGAAGGTAGAACTCCAAGGTCCACACTGAAACAACTAAATGCATCAATGTCATACAAAAGTAACTTTAGAAAAGAGTAAGACCTGTCTCTCAAGAAGCTGGTTTTGAGTTCCTCTAGAAGATGCATCCACTCCTATCTTCCCATTACCATAAAGTTGGTAGTTCAGTGGTGAACTCACATCTGGAGAAGAAACATCCATCACTGTGTTGTTCTCATACTTGTACCTAAGAAAGAAATTAAGAACTCTCAATTTAACAAAAGAACCATGGAACATAACCAAAATAAGCAAGAAAATGGTTTATTATATAATAGCTAAATGTGACCGGAATCAATAATGAAATGATGTGTTGCAGTGGAATATGATGTTATAGAAATCATTGCTTTACTTGATTAGAAACACTTCAGATCTTAACAAAATGAAAAGAGCTTCTGTCATTAGTCAAAACTTTTCCTAAGGCATTAAACATGAACCTAACATTGAGAAGAAGCAGATAATGAAAAACCCACTCAGAAAGACAGAAACCAAAGACTACAAAAGACACATGATTCAATACATCATATTTTCAAAGAAAAACCATTCTGTACAATAAAGCGTAAGGGTCAAAAAGATTTATCATTTTTGGCTCTGTGCTGCTAAAGTTTAATCATATTCAAAGAGGAAATTGAGTTAATTACAAGCAGAATGAATAATATCTGAATTAATGTGACTGGATTACATTATTATATTAGATAATATTATATATTGTACTTTTCCTTAGTGATTAGCTTTGTATATTTTGGTGATTAGCTGACACGACCCATCCTGAATTTCTTCATCACGTAGGATCTGGGCGCACCCACAAGACTCGGATACCCGAGATGTGCCATGTAGAAAAACTGTGAAAACCTGTGAAATGACTTACTTTTTCTGATTAACATCATAGTATTTCCATTTCCAACATATCAAAAAAAACGTACACCATCTTTCATTTTACTGAAGAAAAGATTTAGGAAAACTTATGGTATCAGGTTTTCCACTTATACAACACATTCTGAAACATAAACAAAAGGAAATACATGATGAGAAACATGAGTTTTTGAAACGGAAGTCCAAATATACAATACGACATAAATATAAAACCCACATAAAAGATGTTGACGCGTGGCACAACCCTGAGTGAAGACTCACTACTCGGCACGATCTCCAGGAGGTCCTGATGAGACGCGGGGGGGAGGAGGGACAGGGACATTTAAAAAGCGGTGAGCTAAAAATACTTGGTGAGTGGGGGAAATGGGAGGTTTACAAAAGTTCTTAAAAAAAAAAAGAAATAATAATAACATACAACAATTCTTAAGCAAATCCTGACGACATATAATTCTATGAATATGCAACGGAAACAACCATCCCATTCATGTATGCAATATGTGATTTATTTCTAACAATCTTGCACTCAGTAAAACTGTACTCTGACTTACTTCCTTTAACTGTATCGGATTCTGAATAAAACCTCAACATTTGGTATTAGAAACTCTCATCATAACTAGTACCCTAGGGAAAAATCTGTCATACCTGGTGGGCGTCCCACACGCAGGCAGAGCGAGGGACGTACCTGTCATACCCGACAAGGTCTATCATCGCATGGGCAAAGCCTCAAAACTGTCATACCTTGCGGGCCACTCAACGCCTAGGTAGAGCACTGATAACTGTCATATGCATGCGTAGAGCCATAAACTAGATATGATAATCTGTAACTCTGGGGGATGGGTACTTCATAGGGTGGTTTTAGCACCACAACAATCTCATGCATAAACTCAAATAACATGTAAGTCAAGAACATATTACGTATGTGTTTATAAATCATACATATATGACATAATATTCAAAAATCACATATAGGGGTGACACTGTAATTTTCCAAACATGTTTCAGAAACTGACGGTTTAACCTAGATTAAAAATTACATCAACATCACATGATCTTAGCATATGTCAGATACTAATTATAAGCAATATCACTTTAAAAATCAAAACTCATATAACACATTATAATTATAATTAAGCCCAAGAGCAATAATAATAATAATAATAATAATAATATTTCATACTAGAATAAGATAAACATGAATAAAATCAGTATTTAAAATTCTCTTTTGTGCCTTCACGAGTATTTTCACAAATAAAATGAACAAAATAAACCAAAATAAAATCTTGGACATTAAATAACTCCCCTTGACCTGCCTTTTAATCACCTATATTACACCAAGCCAAACACCTCAATTACAGCACTTCATTTCCAATTAAAAACTTCCTCATGTCGAGAACAAGCAAGAAAACATTTGTGATTATGTTATTCTAGAGCTAAATTTCAGCCTTTTCAAGCATGTTAACCAGCCAAACTTTAATTCCTCTTTATAAAGCCATTTCCATCCCATTATAAGCACACATTCCATTATAAAATTCATGAAACTATCCCCTTTTTCATACCAAAAAAATATGCTGCCTGAAGTCAGGACTAAAACTAGTGCAAGATTCAGATGAGTTATGTGTATTAAAAAAAAAAAAATCATTTATTTATTATTTAAAGCATGCTTCCAACACCATCAGGTCTACTGTCCAGCCAAAAACACCCAAGCATATTATCCAGCAACACAAATCAGCAGCTTTTGTTAAAATTCAGATTTGAGACACTTTCACTCAAAAATTTGCTCAGTCGGGACATGCTAAGGTAAAGTTTAGGAAGCTTCATACTCAAATCAATTTCTAGCAACTATTTTCAACCAACCCTTATTATGCATGCAGCCGAAGCAAATGTAACAACACAAACCAGTAAACTTTCCTTTTTACAGAAAGATTTTGGCCACCAACACAATCAACACGTTTCAACTCAATTAGCCAAAAGCAAACTAGAATGAATATCTCACAATCATCATGCTTGTAAAGATTTTTTTTTTTTGCAAAAACAAATGGACGGTAGTAAAAGGAAATCAACATGCAAGGGCATAAGCTTAAGTTTTTAAGAAAAACAGTTTAGATTACTCATTATTCTAACAGCCGAAGCTCCCTGCACTCTCCTCCGCTATTCTCTTCACTCTACCATTTTTAGCCAAACCATTCCCTTCTTCCTTTCTTCTTTTCTTCTTCTTTGTTCTATCCTCTCTTCTATCTTTCTCTATTTCTCTTTCGTTTTCTCTTCTCTCTCCCTTTTTTTTTTTTTTTTTCTCTGTTTTCGCTTTCTCCCTCAGCTCACGTCTTCTTCTTCTTCCTTTGGGCGAACTGCCCAGTTTTCTTCTTCTTTTAAACAAAAACAGTTTTCTGAAATTATATGCTGCCCCTCAATATTCGCTAAATTACTCTAACCCCGTCACCTAAGCTTCTCCTTGCAAAAATATCCAGATTTTTCCCTCTTGATACATGCAAACCCATCAGAATTTATTTATTTGTTTTCACCCCTTAACTCAACTTTAAAAACTGACAAAAATACCACTTTCTTAACAAAATACCATAAAATCAAATAAAAAGGGAACTAAATAACTAATTAAAATTCATGCTATTACTAAATTAGAAATGGAGTTTTACATTAGCTTTGTGTATAGACTGACACTTATCCATTTGGTTATTAACTTTGTGCATAGGCTGACGCTTATCATGTTAGCCTGTTGTACCTGTTTAACCAGGGGCGGGTCCAGTCCACTCATGCCCACTCTCAATTTTTTTTTTTTTAAATATTAATATATATAATTTTTAGATTTTGACCCACCTTAACAAAAATATTAATATATAATTAGTTTTTATTTTGACCCATTCTAAAAAAAATTTCTGGATCCGCCACTGTGTTTAACTTGTATTTTTTGTAATCATTACATGAACATATTATATAAGAGCTGCAGAATTTTCATGGTATCAGATTAACTTTTCTATCATGAATAATACTTTTATGCTAATTCTAATGCATGTAACTCAAGAATAAGAAAGCCGTGATGTGGAATATACAGTACTGTTAAAGTTTTGTTCTTTTTCAAAGTCAATGTTATTGACTAATGAAGCCATGATTTTGAATTTTTGAAGCTGAGAGCTCACCTATTCAATAAGGGAAAATAATAGAGACACCGGGAGTAGTACACCGAGTGATGTTGTGAAATCCTGAACATTGATTAATATTAAAGTATAATTAATCTACGGTCAGGATTCTGTCATATCATTTGGTGAACGGATTCGGTATACTACTCCCGGTGACGGTAGCATTACTCATTTTATAAGTCTACGGTCTACAGAAACTTGGGCACATGATTATCCCAGTCCGATATTTTGGGCTTAGCCCATCACGGCATGATGTGGTTCCTCTTTCTCGTATCTCTCAACTGTTCCTCTTCCTTTCTTTATCTGTTTTTTCTTTCTCTCCTCTTCCTCCTTTCTTCTCCATCTCCTCCTTATTTCTCATTCTCTTTCTCCATCTTCCTCCAATTGCACTTGGGCAGTGGCTGAATCTTGCCACCATGGCCCAGATCGGATGTTTGGCCACCACGGCCCAGATCTGGTGTTTGGCTCAATGAGAAACAACTAATAGGAAATTAATTTACATGAATTAGCTAACTTTACACAAAATAAATCACTCGTATCAATCTTGAGCCCAAATAGTGCACACGAAAATGCAGACCATCCTGGAAGTTATGTTAATATACAAGCAAAGATGCGAAATTAACTTACATAAATTAGCTAACTTTACACAAAATAAATTACTCGAATCAATCTTAAGCCCAAATAGCATATATGAAAATATAGACCATCCTGGAAGTTATGTTAATATACAAGTAAAGATAAAAAATATATTAGAAACTTCGTGGTTTACAGCCCAAAATTCACTCAGGATTTGAAATCCATCGTTTTCGTTGAATAAATATGAACTACTCGCCTTTTTTGGTATAACTCCCGTCTTTAATTTTTTATTTCGTGCACTTGTAGCCCATGTGAGATCCGAAAATTCAATGATCAATTCCATGTGAAAAAATGTACTATACTTGAGCATACTAATTAAACAACAATTAAAAAAGGAGCTGCTGGTCGAAGAATTAATCATCAATTGCTTGTAGCTTTGAAGGGAAACACTCACACAGGCTCCCTCACTTCCACTATAAATACACATTTCCTCATGCAAGGTATCTCACACATAATCCAACCAATGCAGTAGCACATTCAAAAGAATTAAACCAGCCTACACAATAACTATGAAAACTGTTCATTTCCTTGTAGCTTTTGTTCTCTTAGCTTCGGCTTCACCACTGGCCTTTGCCTCAGACCCTGGCCCTCTTCAGGATTTTTGTGTAGCAATCAACAACACCGGGAATGGCGGTGTGTATGATCTTAATTTCTGTAACAATTAATCATAAACGTTTCTGCTACTTGACACATTATTTTGACTAGTGTTTTTTTTTTTTTTTTTTTTTCATCTAGTGTTTGTGAACGGGAAGTTCTGCAAGGACCCAAGGCTTGTAACTGCAGATGACTTCGTCTTTCAAGGGCTTAACATTCCAAGACCCATAAACAATCCAGTTGGTACAACACTTACCCTTGTAAATGTTGAGCAATTCCCAGGACTCAACACTCTCAGCGTAGCCTTAGTTCGAATTGATTTTGCACCAAATGGTGGCGAAAACCCACCACACCTTCACCCTCGAGCATCAGAAATCTTTCAAGTCCTGGAGGGCACTATTTTAGCTGGATTTGTCACATCGTTCCCAGACTATAAACTCTTCACAAAAGTCCTCAACAAGGGAGACATATTTGTCTTCCCACAAGGAGTAATTCACTTCCAAGTGAACTTAGGCAAAACTAATGCAGTCGCCTTTGCTTTTTTTGAAAGCCAGAACCCTGGTATCATTAGAGTAGCCGATGCAGTCTTCGGATCGAATCCACCCATTAATCCTTTCATTCTGGCCAGGGCATTCCAGCTGGATCCAAATGTGGTGAAAAATCTTCAAGCAAAGTTCGGGAATAACAATTAAGTCCGCGGTAAGATATAAGTAATAAGAAGTCATAAAGTAGTTGATTGTGATATGTATTAATAAGATGTTCCTTATCTGGTTTGCTTGATAATAAAGGGCTGCTACCTGCTGAGATTGCAGTTCTGTTGATAGTCACTGTGATATGAACTATGAAGTTGATGTTTACCAATAAAGTTTGCTTATCTCTCACAACAAAAAAAAGCTCATAAAGTAGTTGATTGTGATATGAAGTTTGAAAACAAAAAGCTCAACAATAAATGCTGTAACAGTACACCAAACCCTCCTAACCTCTGACTGCATTATCTCTCATAACGGGGCTAGTGCTACAATAATCTTGGATAATGACTCACATAAATCTTTTCCAATCTAATTGATTCTCACGATGAATTTCATCTAAAAACAATACAGTCTGAGTGTAATACTCCATACTTTTTTGTATGGAATTTTATTAAATTTTATTTTATGATTCTGGGGGTAAAGAGTAAGAATTTGAAAGTTTTGGTGGAGTATAATAGCCAAAACAACTGGGGGCTAAAATGAATATTTTCAGACATTTTGATAAACAGTGACCATTCAAAGAAAAGAAAAACGGAGAAGAAGAAGGAAAACAGAGGAAAAATAGAGAAGAAAAAGGAGAGAAAGAGGAAGAAGAAAATAAAGAAGGGAGAGAAAGATGAAACGGAGAATAGAGAGAGGGGGGAGAGAAGAGGGCGACGAAGGTGGCTGGAAAAGTGGCCGCCGGCGAGCAAAACTCCAGTGATCTGAGAGTGGAGGAAGATCAAGCATATTGGAGGTGAGTAAAGTTTAAAATTTCCCTCTTTGATGAGTTTTAGTTCGTTAGATTTGTATTGATTATAATTGAGTGTAATGACATGAGACTATACTAAAATGGGAAGATTGAGTTCAATAATGTTATATGGATTGAACACATATGTGTTTTCTACACAAAATTTTGTTAAAAATGTGATTTTGATATAAGGGTTCCCTGTAAAAAAAATCTGACCATCAAGAATTTCGAAAAATTTTTGTATGTTTCGGGTTTTTTTTTTTAAGCTGAATTTCGGATATGTTGTTTTAGATTTGGTGTTTAGAAATTTATTTCACTCAAAAACTTGAAGAATTGAATTTTATATGGATTTTTGGAGTTGTCTTATGAATTCTGGAATTTTCGTTTTCTGCAGAACATGTATTTTTCAAAAATGATTTGATGCATCTATTCTTATCCAAATTGAGTGATTTTAAATTCTGGTGACTCCTATATGTGTCTAGTTTAATTCTGGAGAGTTTCGTGAAGTTTCGATCAAAGGCTAAATTGTTACGAATTTTACAATTTAGTAATCTCAATTCTGGAAACAGTTAGCAGATTTGAATGAGTTGAAAGAAAATTGTGTTTTAATAGTTATTGATTCTAGAATGACTTGAAAAAATTATGGGAACAACTTATGTGTCTCTAAAATGCTCAATTAAAATTATGGCTTGAATTGATAAATGAAATTTTTATGAAAAATCCGAGAGCGACCAATGTTCGGTTATGAGACAGTTTTGTTAAAGAAGAAGCTATGTTAATCTTTTGGTGTGTGAAGTGTCCAATGATTTTAATATTGAGGTGTTACCTTAGGGGGACTTATGTATGGAGGATGTATGGAGGATCTTTTTGGATTTTGTAAATAGGGAGGCAAGCAGGGGCATTGTTAGAGGATTTCAATCATTTTTTCAGTGAAAGGGTCGAGCTCCAAAATGTGAGTGGAAAAATCTAAACCCTTAACGTTCATTTTAAATAAGTTATATTTAAATGCTTATATATACTTGTTTATTATTTTAAATTGCCTAATATGTTTGATTTCTTTTTATAAATGAGCTTTATTGCAATGTTATTGTTGGAAATTGTTGATTGACATGAGATAGATAGAATTTTGATGCTTTTGGGCAATAGTTTGAAAAGAAATGAAAACAAGTTGAAATTGTTAGATTTGAAAATATTTGAGAACTTGCATTTATATTTTTACATCACATGAGGTGTTATGAAATTTATTATATGCTTATGAGAACAATGTTTTGAGAATAAGTATGAGATGTTAGTGGTTTTCAAACCATCCTACGTAGTATCCATCTCCCTCATGATATTGATTTGATTCTACGCATGCGTATGATTTGATATTGTCGGCCCAAGTGGGTCAAAGGCCTGAGTGAGGCAAATATCGCTACACATGATTTGATATTGTCGGCTTAAGTGGGTCGAAAGGCCGAGCGAGGCAGATATCGCTACACAGGATTTGATATTGCCGATCCAAGTGGGTCGAAGGCCCAAGTGAGGCAGATATCACTACACATGATTTGGTTTGCCAGTCCAAGTGGAAGGCCCAAGAGAGGCAGATATCGTTATACATGATATGACTGTGTCGGCCCGAGTGATGCTTGGTCTCACTAGGTCGAACGCTTGAGCGGTGACCGATTTTGCCTAGCAAAATGAATTTAGTGGTTCAACCCGTGAGATGTTAGATCTTGCCGAGTTGGACGGATTTACCCATGGATATTAATTGGGTGAAGGTTTTCACATGTGATTGAGAGATGGTTTGGATATATATATAGATCATTTATTTGAAATGGAAATTTATAAATGCAAATGTTATCTGTATATAAAATATTTTTAGAAATGATATTTTTAGATAAACATGAGTATTGATTTGTTTACCATAATAGTTTTCAGAAAGAAGTTTTGAAATAAGAGACTTCAACATTTGTTATAAAAGATGGCTTATATTATAAAATGAGTTTATGGAAATGAAATTTTATAAGTATGAATGTTTTATTGTATATTGAAATGTTATATAGCATATTAACCTATTCCTCACTCACTGAGCATTTCTAGCTCACCGCTCATTTTCAAATGTTTTTCATTCCCTCCACCAAGTTAAGGAGGAGACCGTGCAGAATAGTGAATCTAACTCAAGGTTGGGCCACACGACTTCATTTCATCATATGTTCTATAGTTGTGTTTCATTTTCTGCTGTAAAGTTTATGTTTCATCATGATGTATTTATTTCAAATTTGCAATGTTAAAGATATAGGGAAAAAAAATTTGATACCATACATTTCATTTTGTAAAAAATTTCAGTTTGCATTTGTTTATTTGCAAATCATATTTGACACGACCCGCCTCGGCCCTCCCTACCCCATAAGCTCCGGGCGCACCTATGAGACTCGGGCGGCCGACACGTGCCGTGTGGGAATCTAAAAACCTGTACTCTAAATACGTTTTTCATAGAAACATTTGCTTGGACTCGTTTTGAAAGCATAAACACATAAGATTTTGAAAATCTGAAAGCTAACTTGTACGTTCATAAAATCCAAAAACGGATGGTATCAGATATTCATATATTTTATAATCAACACAGGAGATAAACATAAGGATAAAACATAATCGTCGCGGTAACAAGCATGGACATTTTACACACATGATAAGTTGATGACGTAGGCCCAACCTCGAGAGGAATCACTCCTCACACGACCTTCCTGTGAACCTGGGAAAAGGGTCTAAAGGGGTGAGCTGAAATACTCAGTGAGTGGGGGATTGGGGTGAGTTTGCAAAACATTCTTCAACAATGTCATGGCATGCAATATTTCTGAAATCCTGAAACACATGATTCTATGAACATGATATGTGGTACCTAATCATCCTGGTGCATAACCGTTTCTAAAGTTGTTTCTAAGTATTATAATATGACAATTAAACTGACACAATTTCTGAATCCTAGCTCATCACCAAATATTGAAACTCTTTTGAACTTAAAGAATAGCTGTAATGCTCATGCTCTAAGACAATGTTTTCTATGAATCTCCTACAAACATCAACTGTTTCATATAGCAATGCAAACATCCATCATTAAAACTGAACTATTACTGATCTGAAAACTGCAGGCTGGTATCTAAAAACTTTAAACCGATATCCTGTTTGGAAACAGTAAACTGATACTAAAGGTCTCATGCATGTGATTCTGAAAATAACAACTCTACTATGTCATGTGTAACATCCAAACCATCATTCAATGAACACTCATGATTCACAAGACAAAATCTGGTAACTAAATTTATAACTATTGTGATGAATAAATTGAAAACTGATTTTTTTCTGAAACTATGCACGTGATACTGATTTTGGAATACTGTAAACTTTGTGCTGATGATTGAACTTAAAGGATACTGTAGCTTTTACTGTTCTGAAAACTTAAGCTAATCTTATTTCGAAACTGGGGCTAATACTGAAGGCTCTCTTAATATTTGAAAACTCTATTGAGACTATCGCTCATAACGATACTCAAAACTGAATGTGATTTGAACATTCAAACTGATTATGATATTATAACAGAAAACCCTCACCGCAACTAGAACCCTGGGGGAAAAATCTCGATACCTGGTGGGCACCCCACACATAGGCAAGACTGGAAAAACTCTCAATACCCGCAAGATATATCATCGCGCGGGCAGAGCCTAAGAAAACCATCTCATACCTGGGGGACAAGCTCAACACCACAGAGCACTAAATATCTCAATACGCATGCGCAAGCCTGAAACAAAATATCTCAATACCCGCGACTCCTCATCGCGTGGGCAGAGCCTGAAAACTGGGGGATGGTACTTCGTAAGGTGGTTTATCACCATAACAATCTCATGCATAATCTCAACTAACATGTAATTCAAGAACATACCACATATGTGCTTATAAATCATGCATTATGACATAATATTCAAAAATCACATCCAGGTGAAATTGAAAATTTCCAAACATGTTTTAAAACTGACAGTTTAACCCAGATTAAAAATTACTTTCAACATCACATTTCCATAGCATATGTCCATCACTACATCATAAAGAATAACCATTTCATATAAAGTAAATCATGCCAATCGTATGAAATTCCATCAAATGGGGGAGAATGCAAGTTTTAAAACATACTTTCAAAAACTGACAAATGCACCCCTTCTCTTTTTCTTTTTACCAAGAAACCATCTACCAAGATCACGAACCCTCAACCCGTATACAATTCAACCAATTCTCTACTCTCAAATTTATTCTATAGCGTGAATACATATAAATTCTATACC